TGGTATTTGTTGAAAACAATTGTTTTGCAGGTTAAGTTGAAAAGTGTCTCTTGCATGGTTTAATTTTAATGGTTAAACATTTTGTCACCTATGAAATCTGGATACCTGTATATGAGTGTTATGTCATGTTGGATATTCTGATTTTTTGTGTAAATTGTGTATGCAACAACTTGTCCATCCATTCCTCTACCGTATTTTTGTCATATCTTTACAACTCGATATACATTTGTTAACCCTTATTTGCTACTTTCCACACTTGAGTGGAGATAAAGATGTTTGTACCTCTTAAAGTTTCACTAAGTTGGGATAAAAGGAAATTGGAATATGCGTTGGCTCATTTCCCTTGCTGCTTTTTTGGTAGGGGAGTTTGCACTTTATTATTTCTTTCTTTGTAAAGTTCTCTTGGTGATTCACAACAAGTAGCTTTGCCCCATATTTTTACTTACACATTACACATTTATATTTCTCAGTTGTACTTTTGAGTTTGTTCATTTCTCATTTAACATCCCTGTAGATTTACAGGAACTTCAAGAAATACATTTTTTGTGTCCTATGTGATTTTGTAATTTGTAAAATCTTAAATTCCTGTAATTTGCAGATTTACCGAAACTTCAAGAAAATCTTAAATTCCAAGRAATACAATCATTTAACATCCCTGCAGATTAATCATCTCAATTTGCAAAATTATTGTAATTTCTGCAAATTTTCAGGTATTTTCATGCATTTTTCTGCAATTCCCTACAAAATTTTTAGTATTTTCATGCATTTTCTGAATTTGCTGCAAAATTGTTGTAATTTCTACATTTTTCCTGCAAAATTTCTACATTTTTTTTTCAATTTCTGCAAATTTTGAGTATTTTCATGCATTTTTCTGAATTTGCTGCAAAATTATTGTAATTTCTGCATCTTCCTGCAAAATTTCTGCAATTTCTGCATTTTTTTATATTTTAATACACTTTTTGCTTTTTTATTTTTATTAGGGGCAAAATTGGAAAGCATGGCTGATTCCGATTCCTGCCTCTTGATGAACCAAACAGCATCAATTGGAATCCGATTTCGATTCCTGTTTGAACCAAACAAGTGGGGGAATAGACCATTTCGATTCCGATTCCAAGGGATTCCCATTCCGATTCTGAACACAAACCAAACGGACCCTGAAAATTTCTTTTGTGTTAAAAAAGATGAACAACCGAAAAAATAGAACTTTCAGAACCTACACCAAAACCACCCTCTCTATACACGCATCCACTGGTCAATAACAGTAATGGAGGCAATGGAAGGAAAGAGAAATAAAAAAAAAATCCTTTTTCTTTTGTTTATTCGTTTGTGTTTAATCAATCCTATTGTTTAGATGAACAAAGAGAATTTTCATCAGTGTTAATCTCTAGTTGAGATTTCAGTTTTGGTAGAGTTGTTTTTGATCTGAAGTATGTGTCACTGGTTGACACATATAATGTTTGAAATGAGAACACAGTTTTTGTGAATATGGGGTCACCTCGAGAATTATGCTTTCTCGTCTATCATTAGTAAGGCGAGATTTGTAGCTTCTGCAATAAGCGATTATAGAGCTGATTATAGAGCTGAATGGTTGTTGTTCAAACTCATTTTTGTTTGGATACCACCATATAATAAACCACATCGTAACAGCATCAATTAATAAAACTTGTCCCTCTTCATGAGCTTGATCAAAAACCCACCACTCGTTCAGCCACTGTGCAATGGATTTATTTGATGTCGAATTCAGCCACAATCATAGGTTGAATCCAAACCATATTGGCCTGATCACAGGGTAGTAGAGTAGGATATGTTCGATTCTTTCTTCGTGATTACCACGTACAGATCTAGACGACAATCTTTTTCTTCCAGCACCCAATACTTCTCTAAACTAACCTTAGTGGGGAGAGTGTCATAGAACATACTTTTCTTGGTAAATTATAAATAGGCACCTTGTACTTAGGGTGTAGTGATACTTAGCCCCCAAACCTTTTTTTTGCAACAAAGACCCCTTGTGCTTTTGGATTGTAGCACGGCTAGGCCTACCTCTTTGTGCTTTTGCAACAATGTCCATGTCAGCAGCTTCTCCTGGACACTGTGTTTGGTTTGAAGGAAAAAGTAGGGAAAGGAAAGGTAGAAATTACAAACCTTTAATGAGTTTCCCTACAATTCCCTTTCTTTCCCTACCTTTTTCTTCAAACCAAACAGAACCTAAACCTTTCTCCTTTCTCCCTTACTCCTTCCTAGCTTTATCACACTTTCTAGATCTCTTTCTTCCCCTTCTTCTACCCAAGTCTTCCATTAAGCCACATCATCAACCCTTTTTCTCCATTTCTCTCCCTTCCCAACACATTTATAATTTTGCAGATTTTTTATTTGTTTTTTAAAGATGAAAGAATACACGTCTCTTGATAAATTTAGAGCCAATAAGATGGGATTTTACCTAAACAATTTCCTAAAATCAAAGCCATATGTAATGCTTCCGCATTCTATTTAGAGATGGCAATTTGACCCGTCCCCATGGGTCTCTTCCCTGCCCCGCCCTGGTCGGGGTTTGGGGTGGACTCGAGGAAAACCCAAAACTCTAGTGGTTGGAGACGGGGTGGGGATGGTATTTGTCCACCCTGCCCCTACTATATTATATAACATAGTACATATAAAATTGTTAATATATGCTAATGTATATCATATCATTATATATTATATTATACCATATTATATTACATAATATAAAATAGTTCTAAATAGATTTAAAAAAAATAAAAAAGTAAATTTATAAGTTTACAAGTAAGAATGATCAGGGCAGGGCAAAGCCGGGGATTCCTGTTCTCATGGGACGGGGATGGGGTTAAGACTTTTAGCCCCGCTGGGGTTTGGGGCGGGGAATTTCAATTCGGAATCAGGTACAGGACAGGCAAAACGCGGCCCTACCCCACCCCCCGTTGCCATTCCTGCCACTTCTCAATTACCTAAAAAAGTTTTCCGAAAACATCTCCCCTCCAAAACAGCCCTCATGTTTTCTCCTTTTACTTTTCTCAGTTCCTTTGTTTTTGTTATTTTCTATTTATTATTATTGTGAGAAAATAGCACACATAACACCAGAGCTTCTAATCTTACAACTTTACAAGCTGTGGTTGCAAATAGAAGAACGTGAAGCTGCAGTTGTAGATCAAAACCAAACAAGGGGAGCATTAGTTTTGCCATTTTTAGTAGGTCTGTTATTCCCACTCTCCCACCATAAATCAAAACCAACTAACATTGAATAGGATGCATAACTGAGTGTGCTGTCAAATGGAGGAACCACTTCCTACCATTAGTAAACTTACATTCTAGCATATGATCTTTTAGAATTAACATCAAAGTGAATTTAAATTCCATTGACGTCCCTATTTATATATTTTTTAATGCAAAACTTCTTGTTGTTAAATGGAAGACCTCTCTCTTCCACCTATACAGACATTTATCTACATCTTGAAGATAACGTATGTGTTTGGTTTTGTTTACGTTTTTTTACTTAATATTTGTATTTTTTTCGTTTGCAAAAT